CCAGCCAGGGCCCTGACTTAAACCCAATTGAGCATCTCTGGAGAGACCTAAAAATTGCTGTTCACCAACGTTTACCATCCAACCTGACCGAACTGGAGAGGATCTGCAAGGAGGGATGGCAGAGGATCCCCAAATCCAGGTGTGAAAAACTTGTTGCATCTTTCCCAAAAAGACTCATGGCTGTATTAGATCAAAAGGGTGCTTCTACTAAATACTGAGCAAAGGGTCTGAATACTTAGGACCATGTGATATTTCAGTTTTTCTTTTTTAATAAATCTGCAAAAATGTCAACAGTTCTGTGTTTTTCTGTCAATATGGGGTGCTGTGTGTACATTAATGAGGAAAAAAAGTAATGAGGGTTCTGCACGAATGAGCAGTGAGAGCAGAATGAATGTGTCACACGTTTTAAACTCAACAAAATGGTAAAATACATATATCAAGAGCATGCTCACAGATGAGAACAAAACAGCGTTGGATGAAGTGGATTAGAACCCTGCACAAAAAAAATTTTAAGTAACGGCCAGCGGCAGACAGTGAATTGATCATAGCCTATATGTTTGATCAATTTAGCCTTCTCAAATCATCACAACTTGCCTAAAATAAAATCTATATATATAAATCAGTTCAAGCATATCACAATGTTAGTTTAAGTGTTTAACCTAGAAAAATGTGCGCTGTTAGACGCATATCCAATCGTTTGTGCGGAGAGTTGAAGCTAAAGAGCGCTTGGCAGCACATGGAGGCGCCAGTGCGATCGCTTGCATTTTTTTCTAACAGTGGAAACAACTTAATATGCAGTCATTTTTGCTCATAAAGGTAAGAGTAATACATCATTCTAAACTGTAAAGGGGCTAGTTTTATTTGTGTGCACTCACAATATCAACAAAACGTTGTGCTTTTATAAAATAAAGAAAAACGCTTTCTGCCGTCTCGGTCTTGAACAGGAACGCTTCACAATGATGAACCTAAACTCAGCGAATTGCCTCACAGACATGATTAAAATTATATAGAAAGCTTTAAATTACTAATTTTCATTATGTAATCCGTGCATTTCTCTCTAAAGGCACATCCAATGAGGAGATGGCGAGTCATTTTTTTCATCACCATAATTGATGGATATCTAAAATATAAAAATAAGGAAAAGCCTAAAACAGGCCCGATTATAATTTGCGTTTTATTTTATAATTCCGTACAATAAAAAAATAAAACACAAATTATAATGGCATATGTGTAAAACTTTGTCCTAGCTGCTTTTTCAGATTTTTCTGTTGCTCTGTTCTGAATACCTGAAAATATAAAGGATTTGCTGCAACGCAAATTTGTATATGTGAATTATTTATTAGCCTATTTTTTTACCCATGCAGCAAATACTTTAAAACCGCTTTAAAATGACTTTATTGCATTCCAGACGCTTTTAAAGTACTTTTCACTATAAATTTTACGGGTAGCTTGAATGTAAACATTGTCATGAATTCGTTGTATTGCCATTTGTGAAATAGCCAACAAATGAATTGTTGTAGGCTAACCCAATCTCATGAAAGTGCGAAGTATAGCATGATTTTCTGCTTCTATTTGGCATAATATTTCTATGCAGAAATTGACTTTGGCATGCAAAAGACTGATAAATTCATAATTAATGGCAATGGCTGGTTCAGTCGACAGAAATATGGGACACACAGGCCTATAATAACTGCTGAAATGTTTGCGGGGCAAATCTGAGGTCAGTCTGAGTCTCATGGTACTCACAGTGCGTACAGCCGTACACCTGCAGGCACCACAGACTCGGACGGTTGTCGTGGTAACAAACACTATAAACAGCAACCGTTCGCGTGTCAGTGCTTAATGCGCATATCCTATATGAAAAGCATTTTAGGGGACCCTTGGCTTTTGGGGGCCCAAGGCGGTCACCTACCTTTGCCTAATGTGTAAGTCCGCCCCTGGTGATTGGTTAGCTGGGCCAGTGTGTGTTGTGATTGGTTAGCTGGGCCAGTGTGTGCTGTGATTGGTTAGCTGGGCCAGTGTGTGCTGTGATTGGTTAGCTGGGCCAGTGTGTGTTGTGATTGGTTAGCTGGGCCAGTGTGTGTGGTGATTGGTTAGCTGGGCCAGTGTGTGTTGTGATTGGCAGCACTCGGCGCCTGGTCGGGAAATGTCCTGCCTCTTACCATAGCAGCCTGAGAGCTTCAGTGTAAATATTGCATCAAAATCAAATCAATTTCACCACGATTTAAACCCGGATGATTGTAACCACTCTAAGATCATCTGCCTTGGGAAAGCTAGCATTGCCTTCTCTAGTGCAGCTCAACCAGGTCTCGTCCCATTCGTCGATATTTGTGATATCACAAATCCCGGAAAATATCCTCGTTTGTAGTCCAAACGAGTCGTTCGTTGTAGTTTTTGAAAAGTGATTTCTGTTAAATAAAATATCTCCTTTTGAAGTGGACTTTGAGCTTTGTAACTTTGCAGATCTTTTTTATGCTCAAAAAGCAACATTACAGACTAACTAAAGTTGAAAAAGTGAAAAAGCATAATAGGACCCCTTTAAAAAAAAAATCTCCAAATCAGAAGGATGACAAATACATTTTAGAAAGTAGTGTTTTTTTACATATTTAGAATTTTCACTAATTTTTGTAATGATATGACCTCTTCAAATAGACATATCTTACACATATGACGAGCCCACCTCATAAAACATGTAGAAGGAGAGAAGCGTCAGGGCGAGGTTATACGGCACTAGCAGTGCTCTGCAGGAGTATGGCTGTCTATTCTTCATGTATTTTGGTCCCATCCACACAATCAGAAGGTACATGACAGTGAAGGCAAAAGTGGGGATGTAGTTGTCCAGTAGAAGCCATCCTCTAACCCGAGGATCTGCAAATGTAGAGCACAACCACCCTCACGCATGTGCAATGCCATTAGCACGTTCAATTAACAAATAGTCACAGTTGTTCCTCTGAATTAAAAAAAAAACAGCTATAAATATTATTATCATCCAATCAAAAGTTGAATTTTATAATGCAGATGTTTTTTCTTTCACAAAGCCTGGCACTGCTTTGCCTACTCACAGCGCAAGCTGAAATTGCAGTTGCTTCCAGTCTGATTGGAAACTTTTATTAATATATATATATTTTAATGAGTCTGGAGACCATGTTTCCAAGATGACAACTGGGTTGATACAATGAGCACTTTTTGGTTCAAACAATCATTATTTAATGGATAATGGAGCATTTTTTTGCCAGTTGGACAGATTCTTGTTTCAACCGCTTGCATGGCTGCATAAGACGTGATGTGACACAGATTAAAATCATCAGCATGCAATAATATTGTTTAAGCTATGAAAATAAAGTGAGAATACATTCTATTTGCTAAACCTGTAAAGTTTGCTCAGATGTTTGCCATATAGGAACACAACAGCAAGAAAGAGAACTGAAGACGTGTATAAAGGAGTATTGGTCTTACCCTTGGGTCCCATCCAAGAGTCAATATAAGTGTTAACTCTGTGACTAAACGTCTCCATCTTCAACCTTAAGGAAAAATCATATGAAGATTACTTCAGCTGTTTACACAAGCACAGAGTCAGAGCAAATATACATACTGTGAAAGTCCTACAACATAATAAAACTGTTTAAAAAGAGCAACCCAAGTTAACCTTATAAATCCTTGTTGGAACACTTATTGATCACAGCAATAAAAATGGCTGCCTACAGCAAGGACTACCATCCATCAGGTTAAATTCTCTTGAAGCTCAGTAAAAGTCAAGACATAGTGCTTATAATCCAGAAAACTTTCTTTTGTTAGCAGGACTAAAGACGAGAATACATAAACACAGAGAACCTTAGATTATTATGAGACATAGTATCTCCACACCCTCAAGCAGGCCTAACACTGGAGGTGTTTATTAAAGCAGTGTAAAAAAAATTAAGCCTATGTGGGAAAGATGAGATATACTTCATTGTCAATAATAATAATATCCAAGAAATAGGCTTATATTTATTTTGTTTTTGGGGTGAAATGTGATAAATATGATATTTGAAAATTTTAGGCTACATCTCATGACAACCAATATGGCAAACTAAAAGGGTATTACCACTTATTCATTATGAACTTTTGTAAATGTGCATGACTATGATTGCAATTTGGACATATAATACACTCATAAACCAACATACAATTAAAAAAAGATTGACAAAAAGTCTAAATGTATAACAATAATTAATAAAAGCTTGATATTAATTATACAATGATTGCTTAATATAATATAAAATGAAAGGAAAATTATATTAGAAATAGCTGCAAGCAATTACCGGGGTTCAAGTGCTTTGTGGCCTTTAAGGTTCTATGCTTTTAGGGTCTAAGCAAACCTGGAATGCATGGCTGACACTAAAACACACCCACAATGGAGAATACGCTTGCTCACACACACACACACACACACACACACGCACACACATGCACACACACACACACACATAAATTAAATGGTAAAGTTATTTTATTATAGCTCGTTAAGCATGCTCACACACACACACACACACAGAAATTAAATGGTAAAATTATTTTATTATAGTTCGTTAAGCATGCTCACACACACACACACACATGCACACAGATTCTGTTGCAGATATTTGAAATAACTGAAAGTTAACAAAATTGTTACTGCAAGTCTCCTGTTTAAAACACATTTTTCAGGTTTAACTAATTATAATGTGGCATAATTGTAAAACTGATGTATCTGTATAAATGAAGTGGTAAACTTGGACTAAATGTGACTTTAAATGTAATAATTTTGCAAGCTTATTTAGAATGATATGATGCATGAGTTGACATAGTTTTGAGTTTTCCTTTAGGATCCATAGGCTTTTGGGCACACTAGATCAATACCATATTTTAAAATGATCCTGTAATAGCTGTCCAGGTTCAATATTTTGTTCACAATTATCGACCTAGAGAGTCCAGAGGATTGTACTGTACTGATTTTATTGATGTTGAGTTGAAACCAATGACTAGTTCACAAAAGTAGGTTTTTAAATGATCTAAAATATTTAAATAATTTGATTGACAGCAGTGGTCCTAGAGGCATGTTGTTCAGAATGAGGTGATCTATCATATAATATGAAGATCTAGTGTACATGTGAATATATGACTTAATTTTTTCAATTTGAGGTAATTTACCATAGAAATATTGAGTTTTTGAAGCCTTTTTAACTGTTATAGCGCCACATATGGTCAGATATCCGTGAAACTTTGCATGCTTGTTAAGAATCATCTGTTGCATGTGCTCACCTAGTTTTGTGAAGTTTTGAGTTATTGGATTTATAGGCTTTTGGGTATTTTTGCCACACCCCTTTTCTAAATGACCCCGTTATAGCTACTACCTAAAGGGTAAAAACATTTTTTTTAATATAATTATTGATCTATTGTGCTGCTGGGATTTTATTGAGGTTCAGTGAAAAACCTAGGACTAGTTTTTAACATAATTGAGAATATTTAATGAACGATTTGATTGACAGCAGTGGTTCTTGAGGCAATGTTGCTCAGTATGAGGAATTATTAATTATGATATGAATATTGTGAAACGCCACGTGATTATAGAGGCGTGAAATTCACCACTGTCACCTAATGGCCGATTTCTTTCAAAATTATTTTACAGACCTCTAGGGCCACGAGTCAATCGTGCCCACCAAGTTTAGATCCGATCAGCCTCCGTTAACCTTGTCTGTGCTCAAAATTCATTGGCCAATGGCGGACATGTTTTTTGAGATACGCAAATGTCCTCATAGACACTTGTGCCACTTTGGACAAAGACACTGCATACCAATTTTCAAGTCGATCAAACTAACGGGTGCATAGTGTTATAGCCATTTTTATGTTTCTTTCCCCTGTTATAGCACCACCAAGTGGCCAAACTCCACATTTTTTTTATTGTGACTTCAGATTGAGCTGTTACATGACTGTTCCAAGTTTGGCGAAAAAAATCACTTTCCGTTCAAGAGTTATAGGCGCACCCCTTACGAACATTTTGGCATCCCGGAACTTCAACTTTAACTTTTTTTTATTAATTATTGATATTCACTCTCCAGAAAATATTTCTGCACTGGTTTGGTTCCGATCGGGTGAAATACCTAAGACTAGTTCGCAAAAGTACAAGGTTTTTCAAACAATGCAAAACACTCTAACATTTCCCCAGAATCCGAGGCGTACGTTTTGTCCATCGTGAGCCAAGGATTCCAAAGGCACTTGAGCCTGTGACTAGTTTAGGAGTTATGAGCGATTTCGTACTTTTGATCGCTGTAGCGCCCCCGTCAGGTCGATTGGGGTGAGCCTTGGTGACATTGAAGATTAGGTGTGAGTACTGTACTACAGTCCTCCAATGCTGCTTTTCCACTGCGTGGTACAACTCGGCTCGCGTTTCCACTGCAGTTCAGTACCGCTTTAGGGTGGGTGGGATTATTCACATGTTGTTTATAGTTGCGCCGCCTCTACTACTGCGACTCCTGAAAAACTTTTTCATTCCGCGTCGCCCCATCAAGCTCGCTGGATCCGCTCCTCTGCTATCACCGAGAGGAACGTCTGTACTTCCTCAACAGACAACAAAACAGCCACTTTTTGGTTGTTAAAAAAGGTGCGCTTGTTCAAAACAGTTGCGTTCGATCCTTCGCTAGGGATGGGCGTATCGATCCTAAGTATCGATATATCGATACTGTACTTTTGCGAGTATCGAAAGTATCGATACTCAAGCTAAAAATAACGATACTAATTTACCAGTTTTATTTACCAGTGATTTTGTTTATTTAAAATAATAATAATAATGCGTACAAATGCATTGAATTGGACGAATAACCTTTGTTCGCAAGTAATTGTGTAGGATATAATTATTTTCCTGCTCATCTGAACACAAGCAAAATAAATTACAATTAAGGCGTACTGAATGTTAAAATGTGTTTTAAACAAAGTTTATACTTTTAGTAATTTAATAATTTCATAAATTTAATCATTTAAAAGTGTAGTTCAGAAGTATCGTATCGGTATCGATATTGACGATACTGCCTTATACAAAATAAGTGGTATCGCCCATCCCGATCCTTCGCTCGCTGTGCTGATTTAAATCTAACCTTGAAAAATATCGGTATCGTATCATAAACAAAATAAGTGGTATCGCCCATCCCGATCCTTCGCTGGCTGTGCTGATTTAAATCTAGCCTTGAAAAATATTAACCGTTCTAAATTCCATTGTAACGCGCGTTCTGGCAGCTTGTTTTAAGAATTGTGCCGCTGCACTGTTTACAAGGCGTACGCGGACTAGTCACCCCATTCATCTGATGTTAGAACAGACCAATCACAGCGCTGCTACGATGTGGAGCCAATCACAGAGCTGCGCTGATGCACAGAGCGCATCAAGGGGCCCATGTTGCAGAGAACAATCACAGGAAAAGTGTCACAAGTTCCACCAGACGTGCTCACGTGGCCCACACAACGATCATGTAACATTTTCTTTTTTTGAACGCAGTGGTCAATCGTTAATCTTTTTATATAGATATTCTAGTTTCGAGTTCTTGCAAACTGAATGGTATTTTGTTACTTAGTTACACACTGGAGAGTATTAGAGTGATGCCAGTAAGTATAAAAAAGTCATAAAACTGAAGAAAAAAACCCTGATATCTGGTCATGTGCTGATTCTTTATGATGCAACGTGATACAAAGTCCCATTATTTTGCATCATATGTCAACCACTTCACACTTTAGAATCACATTTGCGAATGTTATTCATTACGAGTCAGAACACAGAATTAACATTCCCTGGCATCATTAGATGAGGACAACTGGGGACATTATTAAACCCTTAACTTTGTCACCCCCCATTTTTTTTAAATAGGCATGAAAGTGCACTATCCAAACTTAAATTGTTGTAATTTATGAACACTTTGGAATACAGACATAAGGTTGGTCTCTTTTTTAAGAAGAAAATCAGCAGATTATCACACAAGTAGAATTAAAGTATCAAAAAGTTATAGAAGTTTAAATATACTGTAAATAAAATACACTATATTAATTTTATATATAATAAATATTTTACATAACAGGTTTTACTCTAAAATTGGTATAAAATTAAAGCCTTATGTCTAAATAAGTTATGTTCCAAATTTGAAGTTGATATGAAAAAAAATTGAGGTTCCTGTGAGATTTTATTTAGGGCGTTATATCACAAACAGCCACCGGGTGCCATCCAAACTCCATTCAATTTTTTTAATGCATTTTTCTGTCACACGTCTATATATCTATATCTCAAAATAACCACCATATATGGAATCCTGAGACTCAGACCTTTCCAATTATATGTTCTTTGTCAAGATTATAAAAAGTTTTGATTGTAAAAGAGCGTAACACATTTGGTAATATGACACTTGACACCGCCAAAAGATTTTAAAGTACCATTTCCATGGTAACGCAATGTCCAATTTCAAAACGGTTTAACAGGATGAATCTTGGGCTTCTTAGCTTTCAAATGATATATAATTTATGATGATTACTAAAAGATTTGATAGAGAAAAAGGACAACAAGAAAAGAGCACCAAGCGTCCCACAGGTGGGACGGTGACAGTTAAGGGGTTAAGAGCCCTAATGGTATAGCCTTCGTTTTGGACCCGGAAAAGGCCCTTCCATAAAGCCTTTGATCCGGATCCTGTAAGCTCTAGTGACGGCTTTGGATTTGAAAATGCAATGCGGTCAATTATTTACAATAACAACTGAATTAGATATATTTTGCTGACCTGTAATGCAGTGTATGATACACGGTTTAATGTTTCTTTGATAAAGAACCTGAACTGTGAAAGCCTTATTTCTAATTTCTGCTGTATTTTAAGCCTTGATTTCTGTTTGACTGAAATTAATATGATCTAAAGAGACATTTTATTTTATTATTCATGGCCAAAGCATATGACCACGAAAATATGCATTTCAAGCCAATTAAAATTATACAAGTGTTATCTGCTTAATGAAAATCAGGTCAAATTAATCACTGATAGCAGATCTGAAAACTAGCATATACACCGAGCACATTCAGTCCTCTGTCCAATAAAATAATACAATCAAAAACATTTAGTGTCCGACGCTCAGCAAACCTAAACAGCCAGGGGGCATGTGCTTGTGTAACAGCTTTTATTGCCGGCGTGACTCCGAAAGCTCATAGATACTGTCAGCGACGAGTCTGATGCTTATTAAATGATTTTGAATTGTGTTGCTGTTTTTGTATGCTTCGTTTAGTTCGTGTAAAACATCTAGCCTATAATTAGTTTGGCATTTTTTGCACAATACAATCTTTACTGTTTAAATTGTGTTCATTGAACTGTTTTGAATGTAATTTTATATTGTGATCGGGAACGACTTCATTATGTTATGTTAATAATATGTTATTACCTAATCAGAAAATTTAAAGCATGCATTGCACTGGGTGATAGAGTGTGATTAAGATGTTTTTGTTTTTTTGCGGGCGGGTATTTTTTTGGGGGGGGGGTGTGGTGGGATCACGATGCTGGCTCAACATTGTGATATCTGTCAGCCATCGGCGTAGGGGTGTGCGATATTGACAAATTATATCTCTATTTTCTGGGATTTTATCGATAACGATAATTAGACGATATTTTGCTGAGTGTGTTATTGTGCTGGTACCTTAAGCACTGCCGAAGACAGCTGACTCCTAATGTTTTTAATATTCTTCATATTCTGTGTGGTGGTCAGTTCATACTGATAGAAATTAATCTTTTCCAATAAGTTTAAACAGATTTTTGCATTTTATTGGCATTTTTACCTTTATAAAGCCATTTTTTCTAAAAGTGTCCATTATCTTTTGAGTCAAATTCTTACATTTAATCAGGGAATTAGAATAATAAGACATTTGGGCTGTTACCAAGCAAATTAAATCAACACAGAAGCTGCATCTGAAGTGGCATTTAGATGCATTTACACACATGTATTTTGTTTAATGCAAGACATGAATGCATTTAACCTGCAATTACAAATGCATAAATAATGTTTTGATATATTAAACACAAAAAGTTGAATACTGATATTTGAAATGATTTAAAACATGAAAAAAAGAAAAAAGAAAAGAAAGAAAAAGCCGAAATTTGAAATTAAAACCACCAGCAGGTGGCAGCAAATCACTGTTAATAAGTGAGTCATTGCGATTGAACCGAATCATTTAAACAGTTGATTCATTCAAGAACGAAACACCATCATGTTGGCTCAGCGACACAAAACAGCACTGTGGCTGTATTCGGAATGATTTTTGTTGGCGAAAGAGCAAGAACAAGCAATATGGTGTCTAAAACGTAAGTCTTTTAATTAACTTATTGTTTATTGAATTCAATGTCACATTTGTAATCATGGTAATTTTTGGAGAAAAATGGCACTCTTCGTGTGAAATTGAATAACTATATGAAGTGGTATAAATTAGGGGTCGACCGATTATCGGCGCCGATATTAAGCATTTTTATGATTATCGGTATCGGTCATTTTCAAAACCGATTCGCCGATAAAATAACTTCATTTTGAAACGCGCTATTTGGCTCTGATGCAGCCTATCAGAACTTACCACTCTGTGGCCTAAAGCAGTCTCCGCCCACCGCTCATCTGATTTGTTGGGAGTCACGAGTCCGACCAATCAATGCGGAATTCACTCTCACTCCGAAAGCGCTTGCTAACTGCAGCTGCTTCAGTGATCACGCATCAGTTGTCTCTCAAAGGTAAGGCAGCAGCAGGCGTTGCTTAAGTTGCAATAGATCCCAATCCACTAACATTGCACTGAAGTTGCAAAACACCTCTATATTACCTATGATTTCCGCGATGCGGAAAACACGGACGGAATCGCGGAATCCAGTCATATAAATGGAATTTCCTATATGACGTGGAATGTCACGGAATTTGTCAAAGTTTGGATGAATTTATCAAAAGTAGGGCAGTACACTTAAATAGAGTCGCAATATGGACTAGTATCTGTGAATATTCA